GTCACAATTACTTACGACCATCCAATGTGAAATCTGATAGCCTGGGTGTGTCACAAAGTTGGAAAAAATTTCTTTTGAACTTTGAGCTTGGTCAATGAAATAAATACTACCACCCAATTTCACATCCAATGGTCAAGATTAATTGTGACCACCTTGTACCAGAGGTAAATGGTCTTATTATATACTTTCCCTTATTTATTTTTAATACTTTTCGAAAGACATTTGCTAGGTCCTATACCAGGTCCAAGGATTGGACTTGATGGGTCGGATTTGGGTTCAAGACCTGGATCTGTGTCGGTTACGAGCCCAGGTCGACCCATACTCGAATTGTACTATCACCACCCTTAATTTTAATGAGGGAGCCATGTTTTTATGGTCCTCCGGAGTTGTTTACAGTGGGAACCGATACTAGCTCCACTAGTGTAGAGTGGGCAATGGCTGAGCTCCTTCGCAACCCTGACAAGATGGCCATGGCTAAGATGGAGCTCTCAAGGACTCTCGGTGGTCCACAACACATTGTGGAAGAATCGGACATATCTCGACTCCCTTACTTACAAGCTGTGGTGAAGAAGACATGGCGGCTCCATGCCCCCGTACCGCTTCTCATCCCCCATAGGGCTGATACGACTGTAAATGTGGCCGGATACATAGTGCCGAAAAATGCACAAGTGCTGATCAACTATTGGGCCATTGGAAGAGACCCTAAAGTGTGGGGCAATCCGACAACCTTCTTGCCGAAAAGATTCTTGGGTTCTAACGTGGATTACAGGGGCAAGGATTTCCAATTTATTCCGTTTGGGGCGGGGCGGAGGACATGCCCTGGCCTTCCTTTTGGGGTTCACATGGTCCACGTGATGCTTACGTCTTTGTTGCATTATTTCGATTGGGAGCTTCCTGATGGATTGAAAGCAGAGGAGATGGATATGAGGGATAAGTTTGGGGTCACCTTGCAAAAATTGGTTCCACTTCGATTGATCCCTCGTCAAGGCTCGTGATTTGCCATGTGCAAGGCAGGCTTGTGATTTGCCAGGTGCAAGGCAGACTCTCCAGCCTGATATTTATATGCTTGGGGAGTTTTATTTTAATAATTTTCTTTGGGATTGTATACTATGAGACTATGCATGAAGTTTCTGTAACACCAAGGACAATTAAAAAAAAGCCTCACCTGAAATCTTTATATGCAAAGTACATTCGACAATAAAAATTCTCATGATGACTCTAAAATCAATTTTCAACATCAACAATAAAAAAAATATACAGATCTTGTGGATCTTTGACCACTTATTTTTAGGACGAAATAGATGGTCAAAATAATTTGTTAAAATCTACACATTTTTCAGAGTTTTAAATCGTAATTTTTTTACGACTGTAGTGATCAAGTCCAGATGATCGATAAAAAGGTTTTCCAAGTTTTGAATTATAATTTTTTATGTGTTATTAGGTGAGGATTTACTTATTTTGATAGGACCGTGGCTTTATCAAATAATTTTTCTTTATTTTTTGGTACAAGATGGACACAATTATTTTTAAATCATTGGATATGAAATTCAATAGATGAAACTAAATCACAGCACTTGAGAAACCCTATTTTATACTTTGTGCCTGAAGAATGACACGTCCTTAACCATCCGCTTTCACATCTAACAATTAATGATGGTTGTGATCTCCTTGTACAAAAAATAACTGGTCTCATTATATACATTTCCGTTTTTAATTGGGGATGTTTTAGAAAGTAGGTGTAGATGCTTTGGGTGGTGACGATCACTTCTACCATGTAAGCGTTTGGCTCATGCGGTAATAGATGACTCCCGGTGGACAACACCTATTATTGTTTACCAGAGCTTTCGTAAGGTTAAACCTTTGATATAATTTATTGTGGAGCATACAAATTTTATTTGTTTTGGGCCTTATGACATCCCTTGAGAGATCGTGGCTTTATTGAGGAATTTTACCAAAAGAGTTTTAGATATTGATTGCCTATCTTTGAGGTTTTGAATGAAGTAAAGAGAATATATATAGTAATAATCCTATGAAACTCTCTTATACTCATGTGTGTAGGATTTTAAAGGTTTACTTTTAAATTTGACACAGATATCTAAAAACGTTATCACATGGGTATGGGACTTGACTTTTTTTAGAGATATGTGCCAAATTTAATAGTGAACCTTTAAGTTCCTAAATACATGAGTGTGGGAAGGTCTCATAGGATCATTATTTATATATATATATATCTGTGTGTGTGTGTGCGCGCGTGCACATGTGCAGTATAGCGATAGAATTAAGGTGATTGAGAGGATTCACTGGAGTGATCCTAATGCACAAATATGGAATGGGTATCGTCAGTTCGATGCAGACTACAAGTACTTTGAAAGAGTGTGTTACCACCGATGACTACTTTCAATCAATACGTGGAGCTATTTTTATTGCTCGGCGTATTGTGTGTGTAACACATAGATGCATCTCACTTTAACTTTTTGTGATATGTAAAAGGAACCTTTTGCCTTTCTTGGTATGGGCTACCAAGTTTAATCTAGTGCAAAAATGTGTAGACATTTTTTTTTTTTTTTCTACGATTTTTTCCTTTTTTTTTTCATTTTTTGTATTTTTTTCCCATTTAATGTTTTTCGGATTTTTTTATTCACTTTAAAAAGGAAATAATTTTATCGACTTTTAAAACAACTAAAATTTTAAAGTGTCCCAAATAAATTGGTGTAGTTTATTGATGCATATCAAAATCCAGTTGCTACAAATGTTTTTTTATTAATTTTAATTTTAGAGATGTGGGTAAATTTTTTAGTTTTTATTAGCGTTAATTGATTTTTAGAAATAGGATTAGTATGCATTTTTTTTAGTTTAGTTGATCAATTATGTTTTATATGAGTTGGCTTAGGAAAATTGAGTTCTATTTTGTGGTCCATATTTTCTTAGGAAAGTAGAGTCATTCATTTTTCTTTTGGAGTCTTGTTTTAAAAACAAATTAGAGATGAGATCGTATAAATTTTGAGCCATGAATCAAGGTTTTGGGTTGCGAACTCGAGGCGATAAGATTGTGAGAAACTTACGATCTTAGATTCAAGATCTCACTTGTTTCTTGATTGTTTCCCTCAATTTCTTTGCTGTAGATTGACGAGTAAGTCGCTATGATCATTTTGCAACAAGAATGGCTCGATTAGTGCTCGAAGGACCACTTTTGCAATTGGAAAATTTTGGCCTGATTTGGGATTCTGGTTGCCAGAAAATGGCTCTCTTTGTCCCTGAGACGTTCCATTCGATTGTTCATCACGCGCAATTTTTGGCTCAGATGAAGTCCTTAATCTTATGGTCGTAACGGACTTGATTTTAGGTCGATCCGATATGCGAGGGTCGTGATGTGGCAATTTGATCGAAGGGTCCTCTCTATTGGAAAATCCTGCAACGTTTGGGTTTTCATGGCAATCTTCTCTCTTCGATTTCTCTTGACTACGGCCATGCCATCGAGCATGCCATATATCAAATTGATCAGGCCGATGAGACGAACATCCTTCCAAAATTTGGGCTTTTTTCTACCCAGGATGAAGAATATACAACCATTAGAAGTTCATCATGAAATTGAAAAACATAGTTTCCTTAGATGGAAACTGGTTCACCAAGGGTGCACAAGAATAGTGTGCGGCCTACCTATTTTTAGTAACTTGGCTACAGATTGGTCTAGGAGTGTCTGACTAAGCCAAAACATTGTAACCGAGGGTTTTCAGACATCCTGAATCCAATGGAAGTGGTTTGGTGATCATCTGGAGTTCCGGTGATAGGGATGTAGTTACAAGGTCTCCATTTAGCATGCTAGAGGCAGAATTTTGAAAACTGTTTTGATGTCTGATCCACCTTGACTAGTCGAATCGTGACGAAACTTGCTGGGTGTTCTTAAGAGACCCTTAGCCACGTTTTTCATCATTTTAAGGCGATTCTAGTGCTGTCAAAAATCAATCTCTGAGTCAAGGCTTATTTGCCTACTGCTTCTATAGTCCACATGCATTTTGGTACTTGTAGACCTAGGTCACAAATTGCTCCCTCTTTATGCGCACCGCAGATACCATAAACGTCTCAACCTCTGTCATACTGTTAGGCCCTAACTGCTCTGCCTTGGTTCATACTACATGACCCTAAAATGCTCAGCGAAGATCCATAATGCATTACCCTTAACTGCTCAGCCTCAGTACTCACCGCAAGAGCTAAACTACTCCACCTTGGTCCATACTACATGGACGTAAACTTCCCAGCCTCGGACCTTACCGGATGAACTAAAACATCTCAGCCTCGGTCCATACTGCATGACCATAAACTGCTCAGCCTCAGTCCATACTGCATGACCCTAAACAGTCAATCTTAGTCCATACTGCATGACCTTAAACTGCTCAACCACGGTCCATACTATATGACCCTAAACTGCTCAGCCTCGACTCATACCACAAGACCCTAAACAGCTCAGCCTCGGTCCATACTGCTTGACCCTAAACTGCTCAGCCTCAATCCCTAGTTCATGGCCCTAAACTGCTCTGCTTCAATCTGTACTGCATTACCCTAAACTGCCCAGCTTCAGTCCATACTGCATAACCCTAAACTCCTCATACTCCGTCCATATTGCATGACCTTACACTACCCAGTTTCGGTCCATACTTCATTACCCTAAACTGCTTAGCCTCTGTCCATATTGCACAACCGTAAACTACTCACCCTCGGTCCATACTCTAGGACCCTAACTGCTAAGCCTTGGTCCATACTGCATGACCCTAAACTACTAACACGCGGTCAATACTGCATGAACATAACTTTACAGCCTCGTTCCATACTACATGACCCTAAACTGGTCAACTTCGGTCCATACTACGTGACCCGAAACTGGTCAACCTCGGTACGTACTGCATGACCTTAAACTGCTCAGCCTCGATACATGCTGCATGACCTAAACTGCTTAGCCTCTTTTCTTACTGGATGACCCTAAACTACTCAGCTGCGGTAAATACTACATGTTCCTAAACAGCTTAGCCTCAATCCATACTTCATAATCCTAAGCTGCTGAACCTCGGTCCATACTGCTTGATGATATACTTCTCAGCCGCTGTCCCTACTGCATGACCCTAAACTGTCCATACTGCATGACCTTAAACTGCTCAGCATTGGTCCATACTGCATAACCCTAAACTACTCAGCCTCGATCCGTATTGCATGACACTAAACTGCTTGGCCTCGGCCCATACAGCATGACCCTAAACTACTCTGCCACGATCCATACTGCAAGACCCTAAACTGCTCAGCCACAATCCATACTGCAAGACCCGAAACTGCTCAGCCATGGTCCATACTGCCTAACCCTAAACGTCTGAGCCTCAGTCCACACTGGATTACCCTGAACTGCTCAGCCACGGTGCATACTGCATGGCCCTAATCTGCTAAGCCTGGATTCATACTGCATGACCAAAAACGTCTTAGCCTCGGTCAATACTACGACTCGAAACGACACAGCTTAGGTACGTACTACATGATATTAAACTGCTCAACCTCATTTCATACTGCATGACCCTAATCTGCTCGGCCTCGTGTCATACTGCATGACCCTAAATTGTTCAGCCTCGGTACATATTAAACGGCTCAGCCTCGGTCCATACTGCATGACCCTAAAACTACTCAGCCTCGATCCAAACTGCATGACCCAGAACCGCTCAGCGTCGGTACGTACTGCATGACCGTAAACTTCTCAGCCTCGTTTAAGAATACATGACCCTAAACGGCTCAGCCTCGGTCCATACTGCATGACCCTCAACTACTCAGCCTCGATCCATAATTCTGGACCCAGAACTACTCAAAGCTCATTCCATGCACCATGACCCTAAACTTCTAACCCTCAGTCCAAACTGGATTACCGCATACTGCACAACCTCGGTCCATACTGCATGACACTAAACTTCTCAGCTTCATTCCATACTACAGGACCCTATACTGCTCAGCCACGGTCCATATT